GACAGAGGTCCAGTTTCATTCTTTAACATGTGACTATCTAGTTTTCTCAGAACCATTTATTGAAGAGACTGTCTTTTCCCCCATTGAGTTTTCTCGGTTCCTTTGTCAAGTAAATATTAGTTGAATTTGTATGCATGGGTTTATTTCTGTATTTGAGATTCTGTTCTTTGGTCTGTTTGTGTTTTTATGCCAGTATCATACTGTTTTAATCATTATAGTTTTGTAATACAGTTTGCAGTCAGGAAGTATGATGTTTCTAGCTTTGTTTTTTCTCAGGATTGCTTTGGCTGTGCAGTTCCATGCAAATTTTAGGATTGTTTTTTCTATTTCTGTAAAAATCACCATTGGAATCTTTTTTTTTTTTTAAAGATTTAATTTATTTATTCATGAGATACACAGAGAGTCAGAGACACAGGCAGAGGGAGAAGCAGGCTCCATGCAGGAAGCCCGTCGTGGGACTCAATCCCAGGTCTTCAGGATCACGCCCTGGGCTGAAGGTGATGCTAAACTGCTGAGCCACCCGGGCTGCCCACCATTGGAATCTTGATAGAGATTGTGTTGAATCTATAAATGGCTTTGGGTAGTATGGACATTTTAACAATATTCTTCTAATCCATGAACATGGAATATTTTTCCATTTGTTTCCTTTTCTATTTCTTTCATGAACATCTTATACAGTTTTCAGTGCATAGATTGTTCACTTCCTTGGTTAAATTTATTCCTAGTATTTTTTTCTTTTTGATGCTATTATAAGTGGGGATTATTCTTTATTTTTCAGACAGTTTATTGTTAGATTCTGAAAACAACTTATTTTTGTATGCTGATTTTTTTTTATCCTGCAATTTTACTGATTTCTTTTATTCTGACAGGGTTTAATTTTTATAGTATCTTTAGGATTTTCTGTATATAAGATTATATTACCTGTACACAAGATCTTACTTATTCCTTTCTGAGTTAAATGCCTTTTTTTTTTTTTTAAGATTTTATTTATTTATTCCTGAGAGACAGAGAGAGAGAGGCAGAGACACAGGCAGAGGGAGAAGCAAGCTCCCTGCAGGGAGTCCGTTGTGGGACCTGATCCCAGGTCTTCAGGATCAGGCCCTGGGCTGAAGGCCGCGCTAAACCACTGACCCACCCGGGCTGACCTCTTTTTCTTTTTTCTTGCCTAATTGCTCTGACTAGGATTTCAGTACTATGTTGAGGAGGAGTGGTGAATGTGGGTATCCTTGGGAGTCTAAGACCATTCCTGGTCTTAAAGGAAAAGCATTCAATCTTTCATTGTTAAGTATGATGTGGGTTTCTCTTATGTGGCCTTTACTATGTTGAGATATATTCCTTCTGTACCTAATTCATTGAGACTTGTGTTTTTTTTGTTTTTGTATCATGAATGGATGTTGAATATTATTAATGCCTTTTCTGCATCTATTGAGATAATTATATGATTTTTTTTTTTTTTTGGAAGAGGCTGAGCAAGACAGGCATTAATTCTTCTTTAAGTGTTTGGTAGAATCCACCAGGGAAACCATGTAGTCCAGGCCTTTTCTTTATTGGGAGGTTTTTTATTATGTCTCCTTATTTATTATTCTGTCTCCTTATTCTGGTTCTGTCTCCTTATTTATAATTTATCTGTTTAGAGTTTCTATTTCTTCATGATTTAGCCCTGATGGGTTATATGTTTCTAGGAATGTATTAATGTTTTTGAGGTTGTTCAATTTGTTGGTGTATAACTGTCTCATTTTCCTTTGTATTTTTGATATTACTTGTAATGTGTCCTCTTTCGTTTCTGATCTTATTTTTTCTTGGTCTAGCTAAAGATTTTTCATTTTGTTCTTTTTAATGAACCAGATCTTAGTTTTGTTAATTTTTTCTATTTTCCTATTCTGTTCTAATATTTAGTATTTATGTCTTCTAACTTTGGGATTATTTTTTTCTTGAAAGTTTATTGCTTATAAATTTCCCTCTTAGAACTGCTTTTTCTGCATCCCATAGTTTTTCTTACATTCTATTTTCTTTCTATGTCTTAAGATTTTTTAAACATTTCACTTTTGCTTTCTTCTTTGGTCCATTGGTTGGTCAGGAATATGTTCTTTAACTCCTATGTATTTGAGAATTTTCCAGCTTTCCTCCCATTTACTCTTTTCTTGTTTCATACCCCTGTGGTTGTAAAAGATAGTTTATATAATTTGTCTTCTTGAATTTGTTGAGACTTGTGGCCTGCTATATAATCTATCATAGAAAACATTTCATGTGTACTTGAATGTGTATTCTGCTGTTTGATGGAATGTTCTGTTTATGTGTGCTTGATCCCTTTGGTCTATAGTATTGTTTAAATTTGCTGTTTGCTGATTGATTCTGTCTATATTATCTATCACTGAGAGTGGATATTAAAGTCTCCAACTGGGCAGCCCGGGTAGCTCAGCAGTTTAGTGCCACCTTCAGTCCAGGGCGTGGTCCTGGAGACCCGGGATCAAATCCCACTTCAGGCTCCCTGCATGGGGCCTGCTTCTCCCTCTGCCTGTGTCTCTGCCGTTCTTTCTCTGTGTGTCTCTATGAATAAATAAAAAATCCTAAAAAAAAAAAATAAAGTCTCCAACTAATATTGTATTGCTGCTTATTTTTCCTTTTAGTTGTGTTGGCATTTGCTTTATATATTTAAGTGTTCCAGTGTTCAAGCAGGATCAATGGGTAACCATCTCCTTGTTTGGGTGGAGCTATTGTGTTCCACAGTCAGGTGGGGCCACTAGCTGGGTTCTACCATCACCTATGGTTGGTCAAAGTCTCAGGCTGTGTTCCTTGGAGGGTGGTGCCACTGGTTGAACTCCTTGATTGGACAGAGCTTTAGGCTGGTCTCTCCAATCACCCCTGGTTATATATGGGTTCTCAGATTGTGCTCCATAACCAGATGATACCACTGACTGAGCTCTGTGTTTATACAGGGCCCATAGTTTGTGCCCTGAAGTTGAGTGGGACCTGCATGCTTATCTTCAAGGCTATACTCCTTGATTGAGTGGGGTTATCAGCTTGGTTTCCTGCCTGGGCAAGGCTACAGGCTATGTTCAACAATTGGGCAAGACCAGTAGTTTGGGCTCCTCTGCTTATCGGGGTTGTAGGCTGAGCTCCATGAATGGATGGGATTATAAGCTGGGCTGTGTCTCACAGTACAGTATGCTATGTCCCCACGTTTCCCAGGCCACTGTTCAGGCTCCTTGGTTATGTGGGGCCAGAGGCTATGCTGAACAGTTGGGCATGGCTGCTGGCTTGACTCTGAGCAGGGCTATAGGATGAACCCTGTAGCTGTTCTCATTCTCTGACTGGGCCTCCTAGATGGGCAAAGCTAAAGGCTTTGGTCAGCGCTACAGTAGAGCTGGGAATTTGCTTCCCTTCTTGGGCAGGGTGGTAGAAGAGGCTCCCTGGCCAGTTTGGACAATTGACTGGGGATCCAAATCAGGGAATATTGCCAACCAAGTTCCCTAGCCAGACGTGGCCACTGGCTTAGCTCTGCAGATGGCCAGAGCTACTGGCTAGGATCTCTGCTCAGCAGTGTTGCTACAAGCAGGAATGCCATTTGCCAAGTCCTGGGCACTGTTTGCTATAAGCCCCACCCCCTTCTCCATCTCTAGCTGATCCCCAGTGGTCAAGCCCTGCAGATCCTTCCCATGACCCTTGGGAAGTGAGACATGAGTGGGCTTCCTGGGAAGGGTCCCATATGCTGGGGAAGCTAGATCTGCCTTGGGCTTTCTTTTCCCACTGTAGAAACCATAGGCCCTGGCGGGGGCAAGGAGCTCTCAATGTGGCACTGTGCCACTGTAGGGGAAGGGTGATGGAGCCAGTGTGTCCAGTCCTCTTACCTTACTAATGTGGGATTTTCACATTGTTGTTTTTTTCTAGTTGCCAGTTGGTCTCCTTGTGAGAGGGACTATAGTTGGGAATGACCTAAATGGCCGTCTTGATGATATCATTCTCCCCTATATCCTTAACTTCAAGTAGGTTATACATTCCTTAATGGACAGATAGATTATGTCTTATAATTTTGCCTCTCTGGTGCTTAGCTCCATCTTGGGAATGTAGTAGGTGAATAATAAATGTGTGGTAAAGGGGATCCCTGGGTGGCTCAGAGGTTTAGTGCCTGCCTTCAGCCCAGGGCGTGATCCTGGGGTCCCGGGATTGAGTCCCACGTCGGGCTCCCTGCATGGAGCCTGCTTCTCCCTCTGTCTGTGTCTCTGCCCCACCCCCCGTGTGTCTCTCATGAATGAAAAAATAAAATCTTTAAAAAAAATAAATGTGTGGTAATTCTATGTTTGAACCCTGTAAGAAAATGAAGCATACTATGAATTAGCTTCTGTGTATGTATTTTCATCTTTTAAAAACAGAATTGCTGTTTTTCCATGCATACCTGCGTTTGGATAATGTGGAGTTTTATCCTCCAAAATTTCATTTGTCAGTAGTTCATGGTTATTGATTCATACTGTTTATTGGTAATAGCTCTGTGGAGTGCTTTGCTTCAGGGATAATTTAATTAGGGGCACTGCTGTTTGACACCATTCAGGAAAATGTTACAACTGTAAAGAGTATTCGATTTGTCACTGAATGACACTTAATAGAAGCCAGGGATAGGCAAATAACATGCCAACTTGGTTATTAAAATTGGGTCTTTTGGCATTTTTGTCCAACATTTTTTGTTTATATCATTGCCGTCCTAAGAAATAAGCATGTGACCATTTTGATGACTTTTATTTGGCAAGGGCAGAAACTAATGCCAGATAAATAAGGATATTGTAAGTTGATACAGATGGAGTCCATGCTTTCAGAATGCTGTGTTTCTGTTCTCTGAAGTTAGATATCTATTTGTGATGGAGAATACATTTGTGTAAGGGGGCAAGATTGGCATGCACTAAAATGAAATCCTCATGTTGACTACATCAGCTTTAATGGAACTTATTTGATATAGTGACTCAGCCTCTATGAATCTGACTATGTGTATGTGCTGTGTTTTTATACAGGGAATCATAATCCAAGGGCCTGCCAGAGACCACAAGAAAACATGGGGAGGAGTAAGTTTCTCTTTGCTTTTTAATAATTCATACTTTCTCCATATTAATCTATCTAGGAAATTAAATTTGCAATTCAAAAGTTTTTTTGGTGGACATCTAAATTGTATTTCTGATTAGTGTTAGAAAGTTTTTGTCTGAAGCAGGGCAGTGCAGAGAAAGACCAACAGACCACATACTGCTCATTGGCAAGGGTCTTGTTTTTTCCCCTCCTTCCTTCTGCTCTTTTCTGAACATATCCCAGTACAGGGAGAGAAGGCTCAAACTTGTTATATATAGACCTACCCTAATCCCAGTTTCTTTACAACTCTTAGTACAGTTACCCATGTGCTTACAATGGTTTCTAAGCCTTGTTGATAATGACATAAACAAACAAACAAAAAAGTGATTCTGTTGTGCAGCCAATGACACTATTAAAAAAATTAATCTGTGAGGTTGATTTATTAGATTGTTTTGATTTTCCCTAAAATGTTAAAGCCTGGCATTAAGAACCATTGGATGAGGGATCCCTGGGTGGCGCAGCGGTTTAGCGCCTGCCTTTGGCCCAGGGCGCGATCCTGGAGACCCGGGATCGAATCCCACGTCGGGCTCCCGGTGCATGGAGCCTGCTTCTCCCTCTGCCTGTGTCTCTGCCTCTCTCTCTCATTCTGTGTGACTATCATAAATAAATAAAAATTAAAAAAAAAGATTAAAAAAAAAAGAACCATTGGATGAATTTCTTTGATTTTTTTTCTTTCTCATAAAGCTATTTATGGGCAGTAGACAATACACAAATTCAAGGTCATTTTGTTGTTAATATTAACCAGCCACCAGTGACTTCATAAATAATCCTAATCAAAATAGACAGTAAAACCAGATGCATAAAGGACCTCAGAAGGTCCTTAGTGTAGTATAGTGGACATAGTCAGAGGCCTGAATTCAAATTCTACTTCTACAACCTTGGTCAAATCCTAGAGTTCCCCTACATTTGCTTGTCCATCTCTCAAGTGCACTTGTCTCTGCACTTGTAGCCTCGGGGAGTTATGGTTGGCATAATGTAATGATATATATAAAAGTATGTTGAGGACTCTAAAGTATGTAGAAGAGAGTAGTAGAATTTGCTCATTGCTGTCCTTATTGAATAAGTTTATTCTCACTCATTCTTTTTTTAAAAAAAAGCTTTACTGATTTGAGAGAGAGAGACAGCATCCATGTACAAGCAGGACGAAGGGCAGAGGGAAAAGGAGAGAGAGAATCCTAAGTAGACTCTGTACTGAGTCCAGAGCCTGATGTGGGGTTCAGTCTGTGACCCTGAAATCAGACCTGAGCCAAGAGTCAGCTGCTTAGCTGATTGAGCCACCCTGGCGCCCCCATTGGTTCTGTCTTTTAACAGTTAAAATGAAGATATTTGATCAGATGTTTCTGTAGGCCACAGGGCTGGGACTAGGGTTGTGCAAGTGACAAAGAGTTGCCTCTTTATGTTTCATGCTCTAGGTACTTTGCTTGCCGCACCTTAGTATGGTCCCTGGTAGGCAGCACCAAGGATTATGGATCAATCATGGAAAATTTCTTCCTGAATTTTGTTGAGTCAAACTTTGCTTGTTTTTTCCAGTGATTTCCTTGGGTATTGATTAGCCCCAGGGATTCTGGGTCTTTCCCAACATCCACAAAATACACCAATCTCCTGATAGTTTAGAAATGTTAAAAAAAAAAAAAAAAAAGTAAATTTGAAAACAACTGGTGAACGTTCTGGGACTAATCCATTCCATGTCCTAACCCCAAATCAACTGTAAACAGAAGTTTCCAGAGCAACACTCTGTGGCTTGGTCCTCACCTAAACTCAAGCTTCAGGTGGATTTGGAGAATGTTTGGATTGTTGGATTTCATCATGACCACACCTAGAAGCTGCATGGAGAGCAATACATTCCTTATTGTTTCCTCTCTTCCTTTTCAGAATGATCATCAGGTCATTAGCAAGGAGATCATTAGGAGCTTACTTTAAAAGGTGCTTCACTGTGCTCGCTTTGGCCGCACATATACTAAAAGGTGCTTCAGCAAGTCTTTGTTTAAATGGTCAATTTGGCCCAGGTCGTGATCCCAGGGTCTTGGGATCGAGTCCCGCATCGGGCTCCCCACAGGGAGCCTGCTTCTCCCTCTGTCTATGTCTCTGCCTCTGCCTCTCTCTCTGTGTCTCTCATGCATGAATAAATCTTAAAAAAAAAAAAAATGGTTAGGCAAATAATCGGAGTTCTTGTTACAGGATAGGGCATGGTAATGTTATCTGTGAGGATGGACATATTTCCAATCCAGAGATGTGAAAAGGAAATTACTCCAAAAAATGCTACTTTACAAACACATGGAAGCTTATAATAGCATTTTGACTCTTTGTGTTGACCACTTTAAAAGCATCCTTAACATCCTGAATCTCAAAGACTCTATCCTTTACTCTCTCTGCTTTACTTAGCTTGCTTGATTTCACTTGCTAATTGCTATCACTGTTAGTAGGGAAAAAAAGATGTTACTATGCAGTAATTTTTTTCTCTTCTGGCATCGTACAATGAAGTTTTTACTGGATTTGGCAAAGATTCTCACAAACATAGCACAATGTGTCATACAAAGGGACAGCAGAGGAAAATATCACAAAGACATGGCATTAGCCTCATTAATGAGGAGGCATGAAAACAAAACACAGCTGGAAAACCATGCAGTGTAAGTGAAAAGTTAAAAATATTGGTGTGAATTTCTTTTAGTATATTCTTTGATACTGGATGAAGAAATTATTTATTAATATGTATTAGATGAATCATTCTTTTATGTGACATGAAAAAAATTATAAGCCAAGTCTTAAAAATGTTGGTGAGAGGATGAGAACACACTTGTGTATTTTTTTTCACACTCGTGTATTTAATTTTTTATTAGACCACCATCAGTGTTCATTTTATGTATCATTGAAATCTCATTTACTACATATATTTGAGTTCTGAGCTACAGCTTTCTATTTAGGACTTTTAAGAATATATAATTATATGGGCACTGAGGAGGGCACTTGATGGGATGAGTACTGGGTGTTATTCTATATGTTGGCAAATTGAACACCAATAAAAATCAATTTATATAAAAATATATAATTATTTTGATATCAATGATTATCTGTGGAATACTTCATAACTTAGACCTTTCTCATACATTATCTTATTTGAGTTATAAGAGAACCCTCTGATGTAAATAGAGATATTATCTTCATTCTGTATATTATAAAACTGAGGGTCATGAGAGAATTTCTTCCTTTTTTTTTTAAAGATTTATTTATTTATTTATGATAGACATAGAGGGGCAGAGACACAGGCAGAAGGAGAAGCAGGCTCCATGCTGGGAGCCTGACGCAGGACTCGATCCCAGGACTCCAGGATCGCCCCCTGGGCCGAAGGCAGGTGCCAAACCGCTGAGCCACCCAGGGATCCCCTCATGAGAGAATTTCTTTTTTTTTTTTTTAATTTTTATTTTATTTATGATAGTCACACAGAGAGAGAGAGAGGCAGAGATACAGGCAGAGGGAGAAGCAGGCTCCATGCACCGGGAGCCCGACGTGGGATTCGATCCTGGGTCTCCAGGATCGTGCCCTGGGCCAAAGGCAGGCGCCAAACCGCTGCGCCACCCAGGGATCCCATGAGAGAATTTCTTATCTAAACTCCATAGCCTAGGGGGATCCCTGGGTGGCGCAGCGGTTTGGCGCCTGCCTTTGGCCCAGGGCCCGGTCCTGGAGACCCGGGATCGAATCCCATATCAGGCTCCTGGTGCATGGAGCCTGCTTCTCCCTCTGCCTGTGTCTCTGCCTCTCTCTCTGTGTGTGACTATCATAAATAAATAAAAAATTTAAAAAAAAATTAAAAAAAAAATAAATAAATTCCATAGCCTATAAAATGGAGAACCATAATGCAAACCTAGGTTTCCTTATGTCCTATGCAGTTTTTTCCTTTCTTCCAACAGATCATGTTCTGATTACCCAAGTCATTAGTAGTGTATAAAGTCAATTAAAAGCTTAGGAGCTATCTGTTGATTTGATTGGTATGGAAGAAAATACTTTCTAAGACCTACAATGATGTTCATATACTTCTTGCAACATGGGGGACTGGACAGTCCCCCATGGACAAAAGGAATTGGCTCACTGTTAATCACCATTTATGTTAACGGCTAAAACACATGTATCAGATGTGGAATGCCTCAAATATGTCTTCTGAGCAGTGGGAGACACAACCCCACAGTGCGGGGTACCTAAAGTAAGGGGTCTAAAACACCACTTACTGATTGATAGGTTTTTGTCTTTGTGGTTTTTCTTAACAGGAAGAATGGAATGCATTATGGTTATGGAACACCAGTATAGTAGGAGACAACAGGGGAGATGCTATTAAAAAAAGGAACAGCATGTAGAAATAAAATCATGTATAAGATTTTAGTGGAAAATTAATATTTTTACACAGAAGAGAATGTTATTTTATAAATGTGTATATATATATATATCGGCTCACAAAATATTATAAACATAATACTAGAGTATTTATCACCTTCAGATGGAAATTACAACTTTATTCTATCTTTTCATCCCCCCACCCTCTGAGCAACTGGTATATTCATAACAAAATGACAAAAGTCTCAATACTCCACAAAGCAATTTCTTGGGATTTTTCTTGCTGAAGATTTTGGGAGTTACTGTTTTGTTACAATGTTTTTTTTTTTTCTTTTAAGATTTATTTTAGAGAGTGAGTGAGAAGAGTGTGGGGTGGGGAGGGGCAGAGGGAGAAGGAAGAGAGAGAATCCAAGCAGACTTTCCCCTGAGCACAGAGCCCAATGCGGGGCTCAATCTCGCAACCCGGAGATCATGACCCAAGCTGAAACCAAGAAAGAGTTGGTCACCCAACCAATTTAGCCACTCAGGTGCCCCTGTTTTGTTACAAAGTTTGAGTAGAATTTGATTTTTAGGTTGTACCTCTTTTCCATGTGAATTTTTTTATATCAGAACACACTGC